GAAGTGGTGGGTGCTTAAGTGCATTGCCTTGCCCATCTGCCTCCTCCCGCCCAGTTCCCCAGCCCCAGCCTGGGCCCTCAGCCCCAGCCCCGCTCCCCAAAATAAGGAACTCAGAGCCTCAACCACCAGCTTTGCTAAGACTCCCACCCCACACCAGCCCCAACCCTCTTTTCCAGAACTCCAGAACAAGGCCCAGCCCGCCCGAAGCCGCCACCAAGAAAGAGCCGCCCCAGCCGAATCCGAAAAGCGCTAAGTTGAAGAGCAGAGGTTTAGCAACTTTGCGTGACAAAATTTGGTGCGATCGGGCTGCGACCTTGTCAACGTGCTGTAAATACCACACTAAAACCGAGCAAAGGTTTAGCAACTTTGTGTGACAAAATTTGGTGCGATCGGGCTGCGACCTTGACAAAGTGCTGTAAATACCACACTAAAACCGAGCACGGGTTTAGCAGCTTTCCGTGGCAAAACAAGGGCTAGGGATTTCACACATGCGCTGGTAAAATCTGGCGGAAGTGATCCGTGATCGAGCAGAAGGCCTGTAAATACCGCGTTAAAACAAGGGCTAGGGATTTCACACATCCGCTGGTAAAATCTGGCGGAAGTGATCGGTGATCGAGCAGAAAGCCTGTAAATACCGCGTCAAAACAAGGGCTCGGGATTTCACACATCCGCTGGCAAAATCTGACGAAAGTAATGGGTGATCGCGCAGAAAGCTTGTAAATACCGCGTTAAAACCAAGGCTAAGGATTTCAGACATCTGCTGGCAAAATCTGGCGGAAGTGATCTCTGATCGAGCAGAAAGCCTGTATAATCCGCGCTAGGAGGGGCAAGCCAGCCGCCTCAAGGGAGGCCTTGCGAGCCGGCCGCCTTCGGGCGAGCTGGTCAGCCGCCTCAAGGGAGGCCTGGCGAGCCGGCCGCCTTCGGGCGAGCTGGTCAGCCGCCTCAAGGGAGGCCCGAGCCGGCCGCCTCAAGGGAGGCCTGGCGAGCCGGCCGCCTTCGGGCGAGCTGGCCGCCGCAAGGGAGGCCTGGCGAGCCGGCCGCCTTCGGGCGAGCCGGCCGCCTCAAGGGAGGCCTGGCGAGCCGGCCGCCTTCGGGCGAGCCGGCCGCCTCAAGGGAGGCCTGGCGAGCTGGCCGCCTTCGGGCGAGCCAGCCGCCTACTGCAGTTTGAAAGCTGTTTTAAACTTTGGCTTCGGCCTACGTCCGTGGGGTAGCCCCCCAGCGGTAGCTCTCGCTAATTTTTAACTGTACTGGTTGAGAGCGAGAATAAGCAATCAGTTATCTCGCTGTCCGTTTCAAGCTTTTGTGTGTCATGGCGGGCAAGACATCTTTCGCCAGCAGCATTTCGCTACAGTTTTCTGTCAGGCCAAAGACTCGGCAAGAAGCAACGTCAGATGAAGGTTTAGGATGACTGCATCCGTACACAGAAGCCAAGCCTTGCTTGACAAAGAAACTTGGAAAAGGCTTCAGCATCCTGGGGTTTTAAGCCGGCCGCCTTCGGGCGAGCTGGCCACCTCCTCAAGGTAGTCCTGGCGAGCCGGCCGCCTTCGGGCGAGCCGGCCGCCTCAAGAGATGCCTGGCGAGCCGGCCGCCCTCGGGCGAGCCGGCCGCCTCAGGGAAGCCTGGCGAGCCAGCCGCCTTCGGGCGAGCCGGCCGCCTACTGCAGTTTGAAAGCTGTTTTAAACTTTGGCTTCGGCCTACGTCCGTGGGGTAGCCCCCCAGCGGTAGCTCTCGCCAATTTTTAACTGTACTGGTTGAGAGCGAGAATAAGCAATCAGTTATTTCGCTGTTTGTTTCAAGCTTACGCGTGTCCTGGCGGGCAAGACATCTTTCGCCAGCAGCATTTCGCTACAGTTTTCTGTCAGGCCAAAGACTCGGCAAGAAGCAACGTCAGATGAAGGTTTAGGATGACTGCATCCGTACACAGAAGCCAAGCCTTGCTTGATAAAGAAACTTGGAAAAGGTTCCAGCATTCGGAAAGATCCTATTCGTTTGGCCAAGAGTTTACTAGCCAAGACTTCCTTTTACAATCTTTCAGCACAAGCTTGTGTCACACGGACCTACATTTCACATCTAGCCACAAAGCATACTCACTACTGTTATGAATATGTTGACAGATGTACATGTACGTCTCTTGAAATCTAGAAACCTTTGGCGGTCAAGACCCACGAAGCTGTAAGCTGTTAGTCACAGCAACACGTAAAACGAGGAGTGTGTATGACCACCAGCTGCTTGTGTGTAGAGTGTGCTTCACTGGACAACGTGGAAACATGCTTCATATTCATGCAAAAGCCATGGGCCCTGCACCACGACATTCGTCTGAAGCTGCGATGTTCACACCGTAGGTTGTCTGCTCGTTGATAAAACACCCGAAATAATTTTTTGGTCAGCAGAGCAGAGCTTGGAATGCACGGTCCCAGGCGCATGTCACAGTTTGGATTTTATCATGCGGCGCAACTGTTTGGCTCTTAGCTTGAGTGACTCACCTACTCTCTATTCGTCTTTTGCTTGCAGTTGCCGCACGGCAGCAAAGGTGATATGCAAGGATCACCATGTAGCGATGCTCAGTGTGGTGTCTCAGGTAAGCCCTCATGGAGCTTGTCTTTGGCAAGCTTATCTTCCTGGAGGCTGCTGCGAAGGTTTTGGAGTGTGCCGGACTTAGGAGAAGGCAAGGAAGCGCTATGGTTTGTGCAGCTCTTCATGTTTTATGAACAGTGTTGATGTCTGTGCGCTGCTGCCTAGGTCCTGTGGCGGCAAGCATTGCCGTGGCCACATCATCCGGATTGCTGAGAAACGGACTTCTTCATGATGCTGTTCCACAGCGTGGCGAGACTCAAATGTGTAGGTCGCGTTACTTGCCGAAACATATGATGAAACATGGCATTATGAGCAGTTCTGAGGCACATTCGCGGAGGTCGTTGGTGTGCAGAAGATCAGCCTTGATCGGCCGAGCCACTCGACACATACATACTCGCGCACAAACTTGGTGTACGCAGACACACATGTCCAGGACCGTGATTGCCTTTGCAACTCTACTAAGGCAAGAAGTCGCAGGTACTACTTGGATTGCCAGGTTTCAACCTTGTTCGATCCAGTACCTTGATTCGTGCATTCAGACAGTCATGTGTGATTAGTACGGTTCATAGAGTTGTCCAAGTTTTTTTGAAATCTGCTGAGGCACCAAGTCCCAGTTGCACCATGGGATCGTCGGTTCCACGAGCGACATGCCCATGACTACAAGCGAAGTAGAGAGAGAGAGAGAGAGAGAGAGAGAGAGAGAGAGAGAGAGAGAGAGAGAGAGAGAGAGAGAGAGAGAGAGAGAGAGAGAGAGAGAGAGAGAGCACCACAAAACCAAAGAGATAGACAGACAGAGAGGGAACTCGATACGAACGCCGTGTGATATGATGTGGCCGTGTCAAGTATAAATCAAGTACATTCCGAGGTGACAACACGTCCGACTTTTATCCTCTTCGCACCAACGACAACACTGCCCTATGGGCGAACTTGCTGGCGCTGGATTCTACCGGTCGCAAGTCCGCCAGCTCGCACATGCCCGGCGGGAAACGGCGACCCTTGATGCTTGTGCCGCATTGGGGCGGTCGAACACGCAAGGAGAAGCCGGTGGACAGCCCATACACTGCTGAGAAACCATGCTTGGTCAAGACGCTGGGGGCTGGCCCAAGCATGTTGGGTTTCTACCAACGGCCAGAGCATCTGCAGCGCGGCCACCGCAGCAATTTCCGCGGTCCTAGAAGACAGACCTGGTGCCGGGCTCATTTGTGTTATACAAGTATGACCAACTAAAGCTTTGCATGGCAGACTCCTTAGTTGCACAAGGCGTATACCTCATGCAATCCGCTAGAAAAAAAGCTGGAACTTAGCTGAGGTCTACCGCAGCTGTATGCGATGATGCCGAGCCGCAGAGTACTTAGTTTGTGCCTGAACATACGACAGCATTCGGCGTGCTCTCCACACAGATGCAGTCTGCCATCGTGTAGGTTTGAGCGAACTATCGTTCGTGAGGACTGTCACAAGTACAACCGATCTGGATGCCAGTGAGCTGTGCCCTGAGATTGACGGCTTTCTGCACGGAGATAGCATCAGACTTTGTGGCGTTTGCTGCTTAGGGCGACAGTCGAGACGTCAGACAACGCTGGTCCGCTTGAAAACGATGCTGTTTCGACGGTGCCGAGCTTTGCAATATGATCTGTCAGAGTCCTTGCATACCGAAAATAGTCAAGGACTTGTTGCGGCTTACCTGCATGGACTGGACGGCTACGCCGCATTGGTGTTGCCTGGCCATATTCATCGAACCAAGTTGCATTTTCAACAATCGACCCGAGACGTGTTCTTTTTTCTTTGCTTCAGTTGTAGAAAGCAGGCCAAGAGCTGAAAGTTAACATCCAAAAGCGGGCGGGCTTGTGCAACATCTTGACCCACGAGCCGGATCCTCGCGATGCGGAGCAGTTGTGTTTCCTGGCAGTGTTTGTGCATCTGAGTTTGAACGACACGGGTTTCGGTCGATGCTTTGTCGTGGAACGACACAACTGAGGGAGCAGTTTCTTGCACCATGGGAAGGGACTTGTGGGAAACCCAAGTTGGTGTAACTCGGCAGACTTGATAGCAAAGTTTATCGCTCGGGGCTTTGTCCTGAGTTTGTTTTCTTATACTGCGCTGCAGGCAATAATCTGGTCGGTGGCATCACCAAGCGTCTTCTCAGCACTGCCCATGTCCAGATCCACACCGATTGGCGGCCAGCTACAAGCAGGATTGTTTGTGGATGAGCAGTTCACACACATAGGTTTTGCAGTTTTGTGCGCTTGTGGCGATCGTCCAGATAAGAGTTTACAGAACTGTACGGGCCATTGGTTCAGGAAGTCCGGCCCGAAGAAGATCAAAGTCTTTCGTCCGTCGCCCATCGACAGGCATGAGGAATGCATGAATTTTCAAGCAGACATCTTCCTATAGAGACTCTTGTAAGCTTCGTTGCGTTCCCGGCTGAAATGACAGGTACGGCCACTGGCTTTCCCACCTGCTCTTCCAGGACGAGGAAGGCCACTCGTCTTCTGACCATAATCAAGCTTTTTCCTGACAGATATAGCTTACGGGCTCGTGTTGTACGGCTTCGTTGTGCGGCAAAGTTAGAAAAAGCCCTATGCAGTATCTTCAAGCCTGGAGATCTGAAAGCTGTGCAATAATCAGCCATAGATCATGTTGTCCTTTTAAGGACCGGAGCAGTCGTCTCGACGGACGCAGTGCTGTCTCGTCGACAGCCTCCGATCCTTGGGGGCGAAGGTGCCCTACCTCGAGGACGGCCCCTTCAGTATCCGACAAGGCAACGCCTGGCTGGAGAAGCTGAGGCTTCTCGACTATATTGTTTTTTGAATACAACGTCCAAGCATAAGAATGCTGCAGCAAGCACGTTATTGCTTTGAAGCTTTATCAGAGCAGCGCGACTCAGCAGTAGTAAGCATCGTGATCTTGAGTCCTGCCATCAGCAAAGGAAGAGCATCAAACCGAGCTCCTGGAATGACTTTCTTCAAAAGCCAGGCAAGTACATCCTCGCCTACGAGCAGCACTTTGTTTCTGCCCGACACCAAGAGGATGAGGTGTTAATCAACATGGGAGGTCGCACGCATGAGTTTGAGTCCTTCCAGCTCACGCGTCAAGACCGCGGCATTCGACGCCATCCTGCCACCGGCAAACTATGTGTTGACGACACCAGATTCGACCATGTGTTCGAGCTTGTTGACCATGTCGAGCCAGCTTTGGTTGCGGACTACTCAGGTGGCAAACTTGTCCAGGAAGCTGCCGTGGATTTTGAAGAAGTGTGGAACCAGCTTCAACTCCAGCGGCAGGATACGGATGGTGTGGTTTTGCGTCATCCTCAGCCGCAGCGCATCGTGAATGATCGCAATCCAGATCTAGTAGAAGCTGCCGTGGATTTTGCAGAAGTACAGAACCAGCTTCAACTTCAGCGGCAAGAAACTGATGGTGTGTTTTTGCGTCATCCTCAGCCGCAGCACATTGCGAATGATTGCAATCCAGATCTAGTTTCCGACACCGACAGCGAGGAGGACGGCTTCTGGGATGTTCGCTCGGACTGGCTCGAGCGTTTTCGAGCTCGAAGACAGCAATCAGAGAATGGACTCTTGATGCCACGACTTATAGTACCTGTGGTAGAAGCATGATAGTAATCGTTCTTAGACGGAGCTATGCATGCAAGCATCAAACCAAAGCGTCACCTGGATCGAACTAAGGACAGATGCTGCAGCAAAACGAGTTGGTTCATCGCCAGGCCTATAGCTTATTGCGTGTCGAGAGAATCATGACAACCAACGACGTTCCAGCCGAGCAGTTTGCTTCCAGCTCATCCATTTCTCGGCGGCGCATCACAATGGAGTACTTCGGCGGTGTCCTACCAGGCTTGGTGGATGGACAGCAGCTGGACTATGCTGGTGGCGGCAGTTGGACAAGTGACGAACCTTATCCAACTGCTTTGGACTTTTTCAATAGCCAAACAGACTTTTTTCAGCATGAAGCGGACAAGCACGTTGCAGTGGTTGTCAAAGTCATGCGAGAGCATTTGAACCTCTTGCGGACGTCGCCGTTGGCTGTGGCATTTTTACCAGATCCTCGTTATCGAAACTCGATATCGAAGAGACTCTGGGAACGCCTCATGTACCGAGCCAGGGCAATCTTAGATTTCGTGGAGCAGAAGCAGCACTACATGCTCTTTGCATTTCTGCACGCAGAGGCCAAGCATGTAAAGGCCGGTTGCAGAAATGCTGTGCAGGACTTGCCACACCCGAAGGAGTACGGCGGCACCGATGAAGAGTGGCGAACGCTTGCACTGGAGCACGCTCTTCAGCTTCACCTGGATTTAGCCTGGCAACAGAAAGAGCGCGGCGATTTCAAGAAGGCGATTCTCTCCGAAAACGACTACACTGGAGGTAGTCTTTCGGCAGACATCCTCCATGCCTTACCAGGATACTTCTTTTCCTTTCACTACCTGAAGAATTTAGCATGTGCGTCTTCTGAAATGAGACGCGCCGTGCAGAACCCAAAGCATTGGAACGACAGGTGCATCTCACTCAACTCAGTCGAGTTTACTGATGGTCTGAAGCTGAGATGCATGACGCGGGCCTATATGTCCGCTCGCGCCGTGTCTTTAGATCTACGACAACTTCCTTTGCTAGGTGAGTTTCCAAACAGTATGTTGCTTGAGTGGACTGGTCGGGGCCTTCCACAACTCCGCAACCTGACAGGCTTCGAATCGGCTGGACCGTTGCTGGGCACTGCTGTGTTCGATGTTATTCTGCCCCCCAACGCAGTGGGCATGTACCTTGGCGTTCGTGACTGGGGAGATCGAAGCGGAAGGAAGCAATCGTTCTTCCGCTTTGATAATATTTACACGGAAAGTGAAACACTTTCCTTCGCTTCGGGCGATCTGCCACCGCAGCTTCACCGCAAACCACAGCGGGTGTCTTTGCAAGCTCAGCAATCTCATCGTGTTTTGCTTCGATGGAAGCAAGACGTGATGGAGCTGATTATCGATGGTGTCGGAGTTGCCAGAATCCGACCTAGGGAGAGTTCACCGGCGCTCCCAGGTCCACTGGCCAAGTTTTTTTTGTGGGTGTACGTTCGGCCTGGCACGACGAATGTGGCGCAGGAGCTTCGGTATCGCCCTGTTCCAGCTCCCATTCAGCACAATGCTTCCATTACTTGTTTTCTTTGCCACAGAGATCATGATCTTTGCCTACCCAGATGGCGCGTGTGTCCCAACTGCTGCACATGGATCTGTGCATCGCACGTACTCCAAAACCCAACAGACATGTGTCCACGCTGCTTCAATCAACTATGGGACTACGTGGGTGGTGAAGATTCCCAGAACCATTGCAGCGTGCCTGTGTGTTGCTTGGCTGATATTTGCTGTTACGTGAAAGCTTCGCGGAGTGTGGAAGTTGTTGTGCTTTTAAGTTTTTCAAATAGTCTCTGATCAGGTTGTGTAAAGCCACCTAGGTCGAGTGGACATGAGATGCAAAGTGGAGGAGTATGAAGGAGGCGCCGTGTTGGATGAGCTGCTCGCGGAATTGCCAGGATTTTACTTTTCGTTTGACTATCTCAAGATGCTAGCGTCTGCTTCCAAGACAATGCTTCGCGCCGTGCGGGATCGTCGACACTGGCAAGGCAAGCTTGTGACAATGAACACTGAAGAATTTCAACTTCCCATGAAGCTGAGATGGATGATGGAAGCTTACATGTCTGCACGTGTCGTCACCATCAACGTTCGTCAGCTCACCATGTTTACAGTTTTTCCTCGCAATATGCTCTTGGACTGGAGCGCGACAGCCATGTTGGGCGGCCCTGGTCCTGCAGTTGTGCCAAATATGCCAGGGACAGGGTTTCAGTCAACCGGTCCTTTGATGGGAAATGCTGTATTTGACATCATTCTGCCGCCCAACACAGTCGGCATATATATTGGAGTCCGAGACTGGTGTGACTTGCGTTCTCGGACGCATGCCTACTGCATGTTGGAGAATATTTTTGAGAATGCACAAGCCTCGTTTGGATTGGGAAATGGTCCACCCCAACCACACATGAGTGCCCGAACAATTCGGTTTCAACCCGACCACACCCATCGCATCGTCTTCCGATGGAATCCGAGAATGTTCCAGATTGCACTGGATGGCGTGAACGTAGCCACAGCCCGTGCTCGTGAAGGAGCTCCAGCTGCGCCATGTGCTTTGGCAAAGCTTTTTTTTTGGGTCTATGGCCGGCCTACCAGGAACTTTGTCTTGCTTCAGTATCGCCCAGTACCATCTCTCGTCGACAACAACGCCACAATCAGGTGCGTTATTTGCAACAGGGACCACGGGCTGCATCTGCCTCGCTGGTGTGTCTGTCCACACTGCGACACATGGGTTTGTTCGGTTCATGCTGTACACCTTCCTGAACGACTGTGTCCACGATGTCCGAACCAGTTGATTGATTACATCGGTGGAAGTACTGAAACGGCAGAGGCTTTCCCACATGCTGTGGATTACGTTTACAGCAGAGAGCAGAAATTGCAGAACGGCATGACCTTTACTGCGTCGTCCGAGAAGGAGGAAGGGAAGGACTTTTGCGGCGGGGCTGCTGAGGAATTACATCTGGTGTCTAACAACATGACGTTCAATACATGGTTGCGTTTCAGCTCGAGTCGGTCCGAAGCATGGTGCCGGCGAGAGAAACGACGCAGGTTGCAATGCAACCGCAACAAGAGCAGCAATGGTTGGTCGGACTTAGTCCCGCTTGTTGTCCTACTTACGGACAAGGCACGTCAAGCATTCGCATTCCCATCGAAGCTTGCGTGCAGGCGCCTCGGTTGCTGCTCGACTTGATACCGCAGGATTTTACGCATCTGCCAGCTGCTCAGCCAGATTGCAGCTTGCTGTCTCGCCTGCACGAACATGATCGGGACAAGCGAATCAACTTCCTGTCAGAGACTCACGTCTACTATGTGGACGGCGTCCCGATGAGCATTTCCGTGACTGGCTTAGTTCACAAATTCGCTGAAATTTTCGATGCGGACGGTGCAATCGCCAACATGCAAAACAGTTCAAGATGGCCGCGCCCTGAATATTCCAGCGTGCAGACAAACGGCATGCTCCTGCCCATGACTGCCGAGGAGATCAAGCACATGTGGCTTCAGAATTCTCGAGATGCAGCTCACCGCGGTACATGGATGCATCTCCAAATCGAGGTCCTTATGAACGGCGGTTTCGGAGCTGGTCATTGGCCTGAGCTGAAGTTGTTTGGTCAATTCCTAAGAGAATTCTCCCGTCCCTTGCTGGCATTTCGCACCGAGTGGTGCATTTTTGCAAAGGAGCACAGTTTGGCCGGTTGCATCGACTTCGTGGCCAAAACATCGAACAACAGCCTGGTCCTGTTCGATTGGAAACGAACCAAAAACCTGCGCATGAAATACACCAACAAATTTCGGAATATGCATTCGCCTTTGAATCATATTCCAGACTGCGCAGGTTGGCACTACCGCCTGCAGCTGAACACGTACAAATACATCCTAGAGCATCACTATGGCTATGTTGTGTCTGCGATGTACGTCGTTTGCCTTCATCCTGACAACATGGAGACAGGTCCATTCCTTGACGAGGTTCCCAACATGTCGCACGACGTGGCTGCTATGCTAACGGCAAACGCAGGCGGTAAAGATGTTCCTTGGCAGGATGTGGCGGGCGGCGCAGATCCCGATGCGGGCGCTTCGCAGCCATCCTTCAGCGCCCGCCTGGCTGCAGAACAGGAAGAGATGGATGTGGCAGAGTCGCCAGCTGACAGAGCAACGCAGGATAATGAAGCTTTAGCACTGGCATTGACTCAGAATGGTTCGGAAGCTCAGAACGACCTAGCCTTGGCCATACCATCTGGCGACCTTCCTGAGGAAGCCATTAGCACTGCGAAAAAAAGGCGCTTGATGCCAGGTGCAACCAACTCTCACGCAGACTTCGAGGACTTATTCGACTTGACGGCAACAGCATGTTCCTTTTCCTTGTCTACATGTCCTACTGTCGAGAACAACTTCCCGGTGGTGTCTGTAAAGGAGCAAGCGAGGAAACTCATCGAGTATATTCGTGTTAGGCAACCAACCTGGCCCGAAGACATGGTGCGCCTCGCTGCTTCGGCATTAAACGTTTACCGGACGCGCTTCACGGATATCTTCGTCCGTGATCTCGTCAGTCTTATTTGGATGATTGAAGGCGACAGATACATTCGTGCTCATCGCGGTGTATGCTACTTATACCATAGTGATGGAGCGTTTGACCCCTACAACGGAGTGCCACCGGAGTCAACATTTTACAGGCTAAAAAAAATTCTGTTGAAGTTAGAGGGCCTTTTTCGGCTTATGTCTCCAGCTACTGATCGCTCTGATGCCGCTATTCATAGAGAAATTGTTCGACTGCTGGCAGAATTCAACAACGTCCATGATTTCCTGGAGGCTTGCGAAGACACAGCCGTGATGGCAGACGCAACGGCAATGCCTCGTAGGGGACGAGCTGCACAGGAAGCCGAGCCTGCCCCGCATTCAGGTTGGCCGGACAAGACAGCCTACATGCTTGCGAAAGTCTTGGCACCGCTGCAGAAGGATTTGCTTGAAGAACGACTCTAGGTGTAAGGAGTTTAAAGCCTGCTGTCTAAGTGTTTTTGTAGACTGTAACCCTCAACGATGCAGTTGTTAAGTCCTGCAAAGTGGCTTTCGCAGAGCAGCTAAGGACGGCTCCTTCACTTCCTCATCCAATGGTGTGACACACCCTCTCAGCGGCAGGCTGGGTGCGCCTACCAAGACATCTCGGTGGTTTATGACGTAAGTCCTACTGAACATGTAAAGCTGGTCTTGCCATCGCCAGAGAACAATCTGTATGTCAGAATCTCCCATCCTTTGCAGCCACACTTGCCGGATCCTGTACTACGTGACGCCAAGCTTCGACTCGAAAAGTTTGTCAAGCAAACCTTTTGGTGCAATCAGCAGTACTACAAGGCGACCCTGGCGGCAATCGGGCTAGCGAAACGTGGTGAAAACATCGATCGCTGCTTTATCGGCGAATCTGCCGGCGGAACTGGCCAGTCTCTGTTCAGCAGCCACCTGGCTGCTGTATACAGTCATAACCACGCATTCATCGACCCGAATCTCTTCCATAATGAAGAAGAGATGCGAAAGCAGCTCGAGCAGTTTGCTCACTGTTGGATCATCACCGCCCAGGAAGCCCCGGAAACCCACCGGCACTTCCAGCAGGACTTATACAAGAAATTCATGTCGGCTGATGATCTTGCGGGTCGCAAACCGTACGGTTTCGTTACAAAGATGATGCGGGTTTGTGGATTCAAGAGATTCGAGACCAACAAAATCATGACTTTCCGAAACGTCATGGAAACTAACTTCAACTCAATTTACAGACGCTGCCTGGTGTGGAAGCCTCAGCCAATCTTTGTGGAGAACACATCCTTTGGAGATGCTTACAATGATCCAGATGTTGATGGCATCTTCGAGAAGGATCCCACCCTGCGAAGTTTTCTCGAAAGCGGTCCGGCTATTGCAGCTGCGTTACAACAGCAGCACGGCTTCGAATCTCATTACTCTCGACAGGACTGTTTTCAATTGATCGAAGACTACGCCTTAAGCGGCCTGACGGAGCGCAAAGTCAGAGAAGCTTGTGGCCTGTGTCCTCGGGAGGACCAGCACCACAAGCGCATTTACTTGCCTAAGAGTCCAGCTACTAGTGATCGGTCTGTTTTTCTTTCGTTTGCATATATTTGTCTCATTCTTTCTCTCTTTATTTCTTTCTTTCTTTCTCTCTTTCTTTTTTTTTCTTTCTATGCCTCTCCCTCTTTCTTTTTTTCTCTCTGTCTGTAGTCAAGGTGCTATGCTGTAAAGATAATATAGACCTTATCAAGAGGTTCCGTCAATATGCGTGGGTCGTTCCCTTTCATTGGATGGTCTGTGTGCGCAGGAGCCGACCGCGGAGAATCCGCACAGCAATTTCGCCGCGATGCTGAAGCGGACTGAGGAGGAGGCCGACCAGGCAGTGCAACACACCACGCCTGTTGAGAAAGCACAGGCGGCAACCGTGAAATATTTCTTGAAGACAGACAAGGCACAGGTGACAAAGACTTGGTGGACACGGTTTGCCAAAGCCAAGCTCGGATATAGCAAGGACATGTTCGAGGAGTTGGTCAAGGAAAATGTTTTTCTTCCAGTGGATTCAAAATCAGAACCAGAGAATTTCATTCCGACCATACCATGCACGAAGTCCTTGGAGGATGTCCTCATCGTCGGGTATGAGTCTGAGGCAATCGTGGTGCGGGAGCGTCTCAATGCCAGGAAACTGTGGGACGCTGTGGAACGCAATGCTGCTCGAACTGCAAATGCCGAACTCCTCGTGCATTTCTACTCTCACGTGATATCCAGGTTAGAGTCCGGAAGAGGCCGTAAATCTCTGCAGCATTTAGAGAAACTTGCTCTTTGGCGAAGCTTTCATGACAAACTACGGAAACACGAAGACTGTGCTGGCGGACTGCTGGACTTACTGGAGAAGCAGCTTCCACAAACGACTGAGCAACCTCGCGAGCAGCCATGTACAGCAAAAGCGAAAGAGACGCTTACTCGTCGAGCTATAAGAAAGAAATCTTCTGTCGCAGCACTTGAAGCATCATCTCCAGGCCAGAGCACGTCTTCATCAAGTGGTGTACGACCTGCAAATCCTTTTGAAGCAGGCGACGGCTTTGTCGAGCTTGATGTCACTTATAAGTACAAGTTGCCGTGTGTGCGTACTCGCAAATACGGAGACTGTCATTCTGTGCAGAATTTGGGTACCGCGTGGCAGGCGGTCGCATTGGCAGATACGATAGATCTCGACATTGAGAACTGCTCCTTCACGTTGCTCTTACAAATCTTAACCAAATTACAGCCGAAGCACGAGTGTTGGCCGGCAGTCAAGGAGACTTTGCGTCTTTGTGCCAAGGAGCGGAAGCATGTTATCGAGAATACACTGAAGCTGCCTCTGTCGGAAGGAAAGCTGCTGCTGCAAAAGATTTTGAATGGCGGCTCGCCACCCCAGGAGCTTGCAGGCAACACCTTCGTGCAGGAGCTGCAGCAGGCATCCTTGTTTTGCCGGTGGGTAGCGGCGACAGTGCTCAAGGACACAGCTTGGCCTTCCTTGGTACAAATGAAAGAAAGGCCAGACGTTTCCGTCCTGACCTACTTCTGGAATATTGCTGAAGATTTGGTTCTAGATTCCTGGCTTGGCAAGGTGCAGCCACTGCAAAGCAAACACATGTCATTGCACTTTGATGGCATCAGAGTAGATCGCGACATCGCGCAGCCTGATGTGAAAGCTTTCTGTAAAAGCTGCAGCGATGCCATTTTCGAGGAAACCGGCCTGGACGTCCATATTCGTGCTAAAGAACGATACACCTTTCACGCTTTGTTGACGCAGGTGAACGACAGTAAAGCAGTCGAGTGTCCTGAGAAGCTGCGTGAACCAGGAAATTGTATACTCGCAGCACTACATCATCTTGGTTTACAAGAGCAGGCAAGTTCCATGGCAGATATGACAGAAGGCCCGGAGCACACTTTTTTTTGCGACGCCGGCAAAGAAGGTATTCGCAGGTTGCCGAGAAGTTGATGCTCCACATCTTTGCTCGACTTCCGTCAGGTAATTTAAAGTCAGGCCACAAGGTTCTTCTTCATCTTGCCACGGACGGCAACCCGCACAGTCTTGCTATGGAGGTCCTGCCGGGGGAGCAAATTTGTGTGACGGATGTCAACGTCAGCTACGCTTTTCCTGTCCAACATCTTGCACACATGCTGTCGGAAGCAACCGATCGTAAGTACATTCTCTTTTTCTTCTACGTGAACCAAAAGCCCGCAAAGAACGAACGTGATGCAGAAGACAAGGAATATGAGATGCTTCTGGACACCTTGGCAGGCGGCAAGGAACATGGATATGACGAGTTCGTTAAAGACCTGGAGTTGCCTGTTGTGGACGAGAAAGAAGAAGACGATGACGCGGCGGATGATGATGAGAGCGTGACCAGAGTGGGTGACAAACTTCTGGAAGTACTTCGCAATGAGGTCACTGCTTTACTCAACATGAAGTCAGCCAAAGTGTCTTCAGAGGTGAAGAAGAATGGGCGTGCAGTGTGTCCCTTTTGTCCGATGCGGTCTTGGAATAATAATCGGCAGGATCGTGTTCTTGAGCATGTCAGACAGTATCACTCAGAGAGAAAGCAATTCGTGGCTAGTGGAACGAAACAACTCAAGATCATCATTGCGCTCCACGACCACGATCAATGCCGGCGACAACCTCTAAGGCACTACCTGCGTCGCAGCGCTAGTCTACTTGCCGCATCCTTGGACGAGACTATGTGACTATCTCGACCAAGCACATGCTTATCGACAAAGAGATAAGACTTGTTTTCACAGGCGACGGTCCCCAATATTGGTCTCTGGCAGCTGTGCAGCAGGGCGAGCTGCGCCGAGTACGTAATTTGTACTACACCCGATCATTCGGTCAGCTGGTCTTCCGGGAAATATTGATGTGCAGCGCCAAGGCAGGAGTTTTAAAATACAGAAGTGTCTGTGTCGTAGTCCTTCAAAGAAGCTCTGCGCATGAGATGTGGTATAACAGAGTCTAGGCAGTTCGCTCTGCAGGTGTACGCGCTCCATGCTCGACTTCTGGCCACCTTCCCCGGTGAGACTAACAGCCTCCTACCTCGGCATGTCAATCACTGGTGGCCATTGGTCGAAGACATTTTCATGTCACCGCGCATCACAAGCCTGGAGCAAGAGCTAAAAGCGGAACTAGTCCATCATGAAGAGTTCGAAGTAGTAAGTATGGACGCAACGCTGCGCTGCTGTTTGCCCATCATGGGCCAGGCACACCCCAGGGCATCCCGCGAAGAAAAAATGCGAGCAGCTTTTCATGGAGAAACAGCGCTGACTCGGGCCTTTTGGTTGCACCTATGCCAATTGTTTGTTTTGCTTGGATTGTTTTTGTTGTATAAGTCTGTATAAGTCAGCAGAAGCGAGCACTGAGGTCGTCACTTGTCGTGGACGAACGAACGCAGTTCTTATGCTGTGTGCCACGACAACAGACGAGGCTGATGTTCTTGTCGAGGCCATGGCTAACAATCTCCCAGCATCTGGCCTCCGGCAAGTGCGATGCGTGGCTGTCGACAACCCGTCGACTAGGCTATGGCAGAGTCTTCGTCACATTTGTCCGAACCTGCAAGTTCTAGCTCTCGACCCAGTCCATCTTGCGATGACTTGCGAATATGCATCGGGTCGCAAACGTACAGCATTAACTAAGACTTTGCGTCTCATCTTGCGCAAGTTGACTGTACACAGTCCACATTGCACTGAGAAGACGTGGGGACCTGTTTTCAGGGGCGACAACTGCAAGGCCCTAACTCGGGAAGAAGAAAAAGCTCGGTCACAGATCGAGGATCGCAGTATGCCTCTGAAGAAAGCGACGGCGCTGCTGGAGAATTTGGATGGCTCCGTTCCTTTCTTCGAGCGGTGCGAGTGGACTCAGTCTCTGGCCGCTGTGGCAGCTGTTTACCGTGACGACATGGATCGCGTCGTACCTGGCCCGAACCGCAAAGTTGTGCAGCTACTACACACGGCAGCGGCTGCAGCACGGACGGAGTGGTATCTCAACAACCTCCGTGCCCGACATATGATATCATCCAAGAGGCTCAGCTTGCTTCCTGTCGGCACCACGTCCAATGAATCTTTACATCACGAGATCAACAATTTCTTCAGAGAGACCCAAAAAATACACAAAACGACCTTGTCCCTGAAGCTGAAGATTCTGCAACTTTCCAAGCTCATGACCCACAATGCCGCTCTTTATTACGAGACAACTCGTCAGATGGCTGAGGCAGAGGTGTTGGCTCGCACGTGTTCCAAGGAAATGTGGAGTTCTGAGCAGTGGAGGGAATGGTGCGAGCAGCTGCAAGGCAATGCCAGGATCGAGAAAGCACCCTTGCAGCTGCACCCACAGAGGGAAGAGGAGCGTGCCAAAGTCAAAGAAAGCGTCCGCAAAAAACCAGCAGGCAATGTACATAGTAGTTCATTGAAAAGACGGCGAACGCCTCACACGTTGGATCGGCAGGACAACCTCCGTCGAGCAGGTGTCCGTGGCCGAAAACCGGCTGCGTAAGTTGCTCGATGAAATAGGATATTGTGTGCGATCTATGAGTAGACTGTAACCAGATTTCTGATGTTGGTTGTCGTGGAAGTTCTCAAGACCTATGCCAATATGTGCGATCCAGGCAATGACAATCATGTTGATGCGAAGCATCCACTTGACGAGTTTGCGACTTTGTGTCTTTGAGAAAACATGCGTCAGTGATGTGCCTGCGAGATATGTTGCGAGATCCAACATTGAGGCTCGAGATGCAGATTTTTGCTTAACGGGACTTGAATCTTAGCCAACCAAGATCCCTGATGTGAGTACTTTTTGGAATTTCGCGCGGAACACATGTGTGCATTGACGCGACAACAACAATTCGTTATTTCAGTGCTAGACGGTTTTTTATTTTGATAATAGTTTCATGCATAAAACGACTGCAAATGATAGTTTTTGTTATGCCAAACATTAGAAAGTTAGATATTTGTGCGCGAATGAAGTCGCTGCTTTTTTGTGATGATATGAATCGACATGTACCAAAATTGCTCCATGCCGACACAGTAGATTTTTTTACGCTACAAAGCATGAGAACAATAGTTAGCTAGCTCCCTGACGGTAGAATCTATCTTTTTTCGATGTGAATGAACAAGATAGTATGCTCAAAGATATTCCTTTGTATGTAGTTTTGGAAGCAATAGTTCTTGTTTGTATGTCTTCTAGTATGAGATTTTGCTATATAGATCTTAAAAAAGTAGTTCCCGTTTGTATCGAGTTAAGAGTGTTTTTCCCTTAGGTTTGCGTTCAGGGTCGGACATCCAGACCTGCATGTCAGCACATGTGGCAGCGCCTTGCACGCCTCGGCCGCCGCAGCCTTGATCTGCTAAGCAGCTCACGACTGTTTTTGTTGAGGGTAACGCCGAAGTAGCGATGCCCCAGCGGGTCTCAGGGTACGGCAAGAGGCAGGGTTGGCGACGAACGAGGTTGAGTGGAAATGCAAGTAAACTCGCAGTTGACTGGCAGGCGAGCTGGTAAGACTGGAAGTCAGCGCAAGGCGACGTCGTCTGCCGCTGTCCGCGTCTTACAAACCACTGTGATTATTCTAACGCCATAGTCTTGTAAAGCATAAACAACTGGCTTCGCGAGGCCCCCGGTGACGGAGTACCATGGCTTCCCAAAGCGGAGCAACTCTGGGCCTCGTTCCGTGTGACTCTTCTTGCCTTGCTACAAGCTTGGCATGCACGGCTGGCGGAGTGGTCCAAGATTTTTAGCTGCACTACAATGCTACACTTGCCGGTGCAGCAAGAGCCGACCTGTGGAATTCTCTAAGGACTCCGAAGTCCTCGCGCACGATCTGGGAGCAGCAGGAATTCCTAAAGGAATGCATTCAGGCACGAGTCGTGTTTTTTTTGGCTCTTACGGTTTGACGTATTTTTTTCCATGAGGCCCGCTGGAAGGAAAGCACTAACCATGCTCCCGGCATTCCTTCGGACTGGCTGGGTCGCCAGCTTCTCGCGGTAACTCCTGAAATCTTCGACGAGGCAGGTAACACAGAGACCCAAGCCCTGAAGTAAGTGTCTTTATAAATACGTGTCCTTGAGGCTTTGGGGCATGTGCCCAACAAGGAGAACGGTCTTCATTCCAACATTGGCAAAGCCATCGAGCGTTTGGAAGGCATTGTCTTGGGTGCCATTTTAACGTCTGCAGAATCTCGGATGCTTCATTGCAGGTCGCTACACGCCGCCGTGCCGTGAGCTGTCTGATGTCTCTCCTCAAGAGAGACTTTCGGGCAAAGTAGTGAGGATCGATGCTTTAAAAGCAGGAAAGTTGGTCCGCTTGGAGTACACTCTAGGCGGGCCAACTCTACTCATCACTGCCTTTGCCCGGATGGAGGAACTCCATCCTATCGGTGCCATCCGGCACTTTTCGGTCGGCTGGCGCTGGGACTACCAGGACCGGTGCTACAGCCCCACGGCCAAGTACCTTAGCGAGGGCTAAGGTGTTTTTTCCGGAGACGAAAAAACGGCATCTCAGTTGCTGGTGAGATAGCAAAGCCGTTGTACTATGCATAGCAGATTTCATATATGCCGGACAAAATATGTGGACACACGGCACAAACCGCAGTCTTGCAATACTTATGTATTTTTCTAGCACACTCCGCTTGCAGTCACAGGTTTCGGATGATGGAAAAGTGCCTGGCAGACTGCGGGCCCTGCAATGTCCTACAACGTACTTGTCCTTGCAAGCAAGGGTCATGAAACCTGAGCTCTGAGAGAGAATGTGACTTTCCTTATACGTTTTCGTCACTTTTACGTTACATGTGGTAGTTTCATATATGTGGTAAGAGGCTTTTAGCAATTTTGCAGCTTCCTATGGAATAGCCATATAGACTGTTAAAGTTTTGGGGTAATCAATAGTTTTATATGAAAATCTTTGGAAGAGATTGAAAACTCCATACAGCTGCTGGTTGAAAATCTTTTTAAGTGTGAAGGCTCGAAACATTGAACAGCAACTTCGTAGGGAATAGATTGTTAAAGGTTTGAAGTATTCGATCGTTTTATATGAAAGAGATTCAAAACTCCATACAACTGCTGGTTTAAAATCCTTTTAAGTCTGAAGGCTTGAAACACTCAATCGCAACGTCCTATGGAGTAGCCGTATAGAATGTTAAAGTTTTGGAGTTTTCAATCGTTTTATATGAAAATCTTGTGAAGAGATTGAAAACTCCATACAACTGCTGGTTGAAAATCTTTTTAAGTGTGAAAGCTCGAAACATTGAACAGCAACTTCCTATGGAGGAGCATGGAGCAGCCATATAGATTGTTAAAGTTTTGGAGTATTCAATAGTTTCATATGAATATCGTGGGAAGAGATTGAAAACTCCATACAACTGCTGTTTCAAAATTTCTTAAGTACGACAACCAGGAGCACGGTATAGTGACGGACCAGCGTCCGCAGGAAAAGTTATATAAACATGAGAGATTTTCGATATCTAGCAAATATTTTTAATTAGCAGTGTTTTTTTTTGCGCTTGATCTTTGCTTGTTCAAACATTACAACCTCCAAGCCCTCATTCCCAGCTCGCAGTCCTACCCTATCAACTCTTATCCAGCCCCACAGCCCCTGGCTCCAGCCCATCCCCTCTACGCCGAACCCTGAGCGACCCACTGTCCGCAACGGTCTAGAGAACACTGTAAACTCCATACAACTGCTGTTTCAAAATTTCTTAAGTACGACAACCAGGAGCACTGTATAGTGACAGACCAGCGTCCTAAGGAAAAGCTATATAAACTCGCAAAAATCTTAGATATCTAGCACATATTTTTAATTAGCAACGTTTTCTTTGTGCTTGCTCTCTGCTTTTTCAATGTATAAAGAAGGGGGTCTCAGTGATTACCAATACTGTTTTGGGGGTTCCTGATTATGATTATATCCTCTCGGCTCTTGACTCCGCGGTTCAGTCCGAAGGGCTGTTCGAAGAACCTTGAGTGGAAGCCCAATACTTATTGTGCTTCGGTGCCGCGTCCAGGGGTTTAAGGTTTTGGTTTAAGGGCTTAGGGATTCTGGGTTCTACAGGGTTTCTGTGTTTGGGTGTTTGCGGCTTCTGGGTTCCGGATTTCTGGCTTCAATAGTTTTCTCTGGGTTGGGGTTTCTGGGTTCAGCGGTTCTCGGTTCGGTGATTTTGGGTTTCAGTTTATGATGTCTGCGGCTTCCGGGGTTTGCGGTTTCTGGGTTCTGCATTTCTGGCTTCAGGAGTTTTCTGGGTTTGGGGTTTCTGCGTGCAGGGTTTCTGGGCTTACTCGCAGATTTGGGGGTTCAGAACTTCTGGGTTTAAGTGTTCTGGGTTGTTAGGTGAGCTTCTGAGTTCAAGGGTTTGGAGTAC